AAGCCAAAACATGCATATAAATGCACACATGGCCACCTACGCACTCAGGAAGGGGAAATAAAGCAGCCTGATTTTCTGAGGTTGTTGGCCTATGGCCGCACATCTTTCAGGGCCACTTGGGCTCAAGGCAGAGGAGACCTGAAGGGCACATGGTTTACAGTCAGCGATCTGTAGCTGCTAGTAGACTCTGGGGCCCCCGTGCAACCCCTGTCCTTTCTGGGTTACTCCTGGCAGTCCTGCAGGTCTGGGAGAGCCCTTCCCTTGCCTTACAGTTACCAGCCCCAGAATCCCACTCCACCTCAGTCAGGCAACCCCTTACTCCTTTCTTTCATTGTGGGAAAGCCAACTCCAGCCTCTGTCTCTGCTCTCATCCCAGATCTACAGAGCAAGAGGTCAACATGACCCCGCTTGGCTCCATCCCCATGACTTCTGCTCTTCCCTGTCCCTTATTACTTCCTTGTTTATTTCTTGCCTGGGCCATTGCCCAAGCCTTCTAAATGTCTTCCTGTTCCAAGCTCTTCCCTCCCATTCTTCTTGCTACAACAAACCTGCCAGATAAATTATCCTAAAGCACAGCACTGAGGCCAGACATGTACTGGCAACTTCCCCATGCAGGACAGATTAAGGCTAGATCCCTTTGAGGTCCCCTAACCACATGTCCAACTCCTTCCCCAGTTTAATTTTCACTTCTACTTTCTTCAAATGTCTTTCTGTCCCCAGTCTGGTCTACAAATGGTCTCTGCCATAGAATCTGCTAGCTGTCTTCTTTGTTCACAGTGGGGCATTTACCACCTATTATGGTTGTGGTACAGTGCTTTTATAGTTTATAAGCACTCTCAAAACTATTTGTGGACCTCCTATCCTGTGCCCCATACTGTGGTTAGCTCTGGAAACACAGTGGTGAGTAAAAATGGACGTGGTGATGCTTTCACAAAGCAAGACAACATAACCTGTTGACATCCTCTGCTCCAAATCATAAGTGGATTTAGAAGGGAAGTATTTTTTTCCACTGTCCCTCCTACCTGCTTCCCTACTCCCATGGAAATATGGCCTCCCTGGGGTCATGGGGACAAAGTAGAAAAGACAGAACAAGACTTTGGCCTCCAGATTCTTAGAGGACTTCACTAACCTTGTGAGCATCACAGGAGCAGTGCTGAGATGTTGCAAGCCCATTGCACAGAGGGCAGTGAGCTCTTAGAAAGTTGTATAGAAGTTAACACTTGTCTGCACTGCAATATCTTTATTTCCTTCCCATTACAGTAACTACCCATACCCATAATAAGCAACAACTATTATTTGTGTGAGCCTTTGCTAGTTACTTTGATTTCCTAGCCTTAGTTTCTTCACTTGTAATATGTGGTCAGAAATCTCTGTCATTCTCATAGTGTTGTTAGAATGATCAACTGAGTGTCTGTTTATGAAATAAATAATGGCATAGGATTGACTTAAAGAAGAAATATTCTGGTCTGGATGGATAGGAGACAAGACAGAGACCCACCACTGTAAAACAGAAATATGTGAGCCACAAATATGTGTCATCTAAAGTTTTCTAGTAGCTACATTTAAAAAAGATAAAAACAGCCTGGCAAAATTAATTTTAATAATACATAATTTTAACCCATTATCTCCAAAATATTATCATTTCAGTATGTAATTCACATGAAAATTATTGGAGCTATTTTCACATTCTGTTTTGGTACTGTATCTTTGAAATCCTGTGTGTATTTTACACATATAGCACACGTCATTTGGGACTAGCCACACTTCAAGTGCTTGACATTCACATGTGGCTGCTGTGTTGGGCAGCACACACTAATCAGTAATGCATATAAAAATTAAAGATCTCTATAGTACTTAACAGTTTCCAAAACTCTTGATATTTAAATCCCATGTTAGCCTGACTAGGCCGAGGCTTATCATCTCCATTTTGTAGATGAGCAGAAGCAGCAGCAATTATGTGTAACTGACTCAAGATCATCAGCTAGTAAATGGTGAACTCAATCCTTGTCTTCAAACTTGACACTTTCTCTTTTGCTTCCTTTTCTAAACAAGCAATACAAAGGGAAACTTGAATATTATACACACAGCTCTCAAGACTCATTTCACTAGTGCATGAAAAGGTACAATTCTTTCAAAATCCACCTATAATCTCCTCCCTTCAAAAATCATGCCCAGTTTAATCCCACTAGAATTGGTTAGCATCATTGTTCTAAAAATATGTGTGTACTGGATCAAGCACCTTTCAGCTCTGATGTGCTATGGATGTAAATAATATAAATGGGTATTTAAAAAGCCTACCTCTCTCTGATATTCTCTATGATATAGTGATTTACTTCTTAATTACCCTTGAGGATTACACTGTGGTGTTTCAGCATCCCAAATAAGTAAGAAATGATGTAAAGACTCCCTCTTCTAGTTTAAAAAGCACATACATGCCAAATGTTTACACCAAGGCATAACCAGACCCAGATGGATAACAGGGAGAGGCTCCCAGTGCAGGATTTCTCTATAAGAAGATAGCAGGCACGTGAGGGTATGGGCGAGGGGCAAAGTAGGGGACAGGCTAGCTTGAGAACTGCCCTGTTAAGGACCAGTCCATAAATTAATGTTCCCAAAGAGGTGCCAAGGGCAACTGACCACCCTCCTGACCAGCAAAGCTGCCCCTCACGAGCCCAGAGCTGCTGGCAGGAGCTCCAGCTTGACTTCCAGACCTGGCTAGTTTCCCCCTCCCTTCACAGGGAGGTGGCTGGAGGGCAGCAAAAGGCTTGTGAAGCCGTATCTGCTCGTTTATCTGGTAGTCTATGTCCCCACAAATACCCTTGTCAAATTAACTCAAAAAGAGCCTGAGGCTTTGCTAGAAATAAATTATAGAGATTTATTCAAGGTCCTGGAGTTTGCAGACTGGGAACACAGCCAGGCAAAACCCCACAAGCATTCCAAAAAAGAAAAGTTAAAAGTTCTTATAGAACTATTAACTTGAGAATTATCAGTCCTACGTTCTGAGCCCTAGGATTGGTCCAGACAGTTAACAGACAGATGTCAGGCAGTCAGGATGATGGATGCCAGGTGGTCCAGAAGATGGGTGTCAGGAGGTCTGGTCACACCCAGTGGTCTGGATAATGGATGTCAGGTGGATATACAGGGTATCCCCCCAAAATGCATATACACTTTGAATAATTATTAACTCCAATGGGTTATATCTGAAAAGAAGGAAACATCAATTGAGCTACCAGCTGTTAAGCGTGTATACATTTTTTTGGGACACCCTGTATATGGGTGTCCTTCAGGGGTAATTAGAGGGTTACCTGCAAGTCCAGATATGTATCCAGGCATTGATGCAGGATTAGAAAATTCAAAACAGTTTAAGTTCCCAGGGTAGTTAGAATTAAGAATGAACTCCTTTCTCATGCCTCATCCTTCATAACGTTACTAATTTTAGCAGCTTGGTTAAAGTGTCTCTATTTTATATATTCCCTATCTTCACTGCTCCCTACCCCCTCCCCCGCCAAGAATAAGCTGGACTGGCAGTAGAAGCTAAAGGCGCCTTCTCTGGGCCAAGGACACGGACAGCCCCAGCGCTCCTCTCCTCCAGCCCGCGTCTGGGTTCTCCAGGTGACGCCTAATCACACAACTGCCGCGTCAAGTCCGCGGGGGGTTAGTGTGTGCACCTGTGACTTTTGCCATCTCCAGACAGCTGCCGGGCTGAATATTATAATAATTTCCTAAAGGCTTACGCGAGCACCTAGCCGACCCCACACTCTGCGGGAGCGGGTCTCCCGCGGCGCTCGCAGCACCGCACGTCACAGTCTACGTGGCTCACCAGCAGTGCGCACGCGCGAGGCTGGGCCGCCAGCAACTTCCGGGCGCTGAGGGGCGGGTACCTCAGTGTCCCGCGGGTCCCTCCCAGGCACACCTCTATGGCGCTTCCGCTTGGGATCGGGTGTCCCTCTCCGGAAGCAGGGGCCAGGAGGTCGGGAGGGGCCTGAGGGGCCCGAGGAGCCGCCCGGGAGCGACCTCCCCCGCCCCGGGA